TCACAGACTATAGAAATGAGGCATATGTGGGAAGTATGTGTGGCATCTTTTTCATAAGGCTCACCATATTTAGCTTGAACTATTGTTTAGTCTTAGACTGTCTTCCTAGTGTCTGTAGTGTCGAACTATTCTTGGTGAAGTGATTTTGTACTAGATGGTACAGAGGCTGTCTGTTTTGTTTTGTGTGTTTGTTTTTAAAAATAGTTTGTTTTTAAAGTAACCTTATCTTCCAGAATGAAAAAGTAAGGTACAAACAACCTGATTTAAAAATGGTCAGAGGATCTGAATAGACAGCTTTCCAAGGAGGACATACAAATGTCCAACAGACGTATGAAGAGATGCTCAACATCACTAATTATTAGGGAAATGCAAATCAAAACCACAGTAAGATATCACCTCACACCTATTAGAATGGCTATTATCAACAAGACAGTAACGAATGCTGGGGAGGTTGTGGAAGAAAGGGAACACTTGTACACTGTTGGTGGGATTGTAAGTTAGTACAACCATTATGGAAAACAGTGTAGAGGTTTCTGAAAAAATTAAGAATAACACTACCTTATGACCAGCAATTCCACTTCTGGGTATTTATTCAAAGAATATGAAAACACTAATTCAAAAAGATATCTGCGCCCCTATATTTATTGCAGCATTATTTGCAATAGATGAGTAGGTAAAGAATATATGGCATTTATATATAATGGAATATGACTTAGCCATAAAAAAGAATGAAATCTTGCCATCTGTAACAACATGGCTAGACTTAGAGGGTAATGTGCTGAGTGAAATAAGTCAGACAGAGAAAGACAAATACTACATGATTTGGAATCTAAAAAACAAAATGAAAAAATTAAACCAGAACAAACTCATAGACACAGAGAACAGATTGGTGGTTACAGATGGGAATGGGGTGGGGGATGGGTGAAGGGGGGGAAGGGTGGTCAATTATATGGTCATAGATGGTAACTAGATTCTTTGGGCGTGACCACTTTGTAGTGTATACAGATGTCAAATTGTAATGTATACCTGAAACTTAAAATAAAAAAAATCATTTTAAAAGGAGAAAAATATGCCCAACCGGGCGTCGCTCAGTGGTTGAGTGTCGACCTAGGATCCAGGTGATCTGGGTTCGATTCCCGGTCAGGGCACATGCCCGTGTTGCGGGCTCGATCAATGACTCTCTCATCATTGATGTTTCTATCTCTCCCTCTCCTTTCCTCTCTCTGAAATCAATAAAGATATATTTAAAAAAAAAAAAAAGAAAAATATGGTATATACATTCCCCCATTTTTTAAAATGTTGACAGTATAGGAGATATAGAAGTTGGGGAATTGCTAATATAAATGTGGGTGGTTTTGTGTGCTTTTGCCGGACACTGATGGAAAAGCCCTGCCAGTGTCTAGGGGTGTGGAATGTTCCTTCCTGCTGCTTCTGGTGGGGTGAGAACCACTCAGCTGCAGAGTGGTTTGCTGAGCCCCATGGGGGACATCTTGGCTGAAGTGCCCCCCTGCCTGCCCCATGGGTTTCCTCTGGTTGTCAGCAGCAGCAGCAGGCACTATTGGGTGAGTGGAGCACACGTGGCCCAGGTGTTCCCTCTGGTTAGCAGCAGCAGCAGGCACTATTGGGTGAGTATGGAGCACATGTGGCCCAGGTATTGCCCCTGGTTAGAAGCAGCAGCAGCAGCAGGGTTGTTGGGTGAGTGTGGAGCACATGCAGGCTGTGCTTTCCCACTGGACCAGCAGCTGTCTTGCCTAGGAGAGAATGTCTCCCACGGGTCTTTGCATGGAAGCAAAGGTACAGTGAGGAGCAGGAATGGGGAACCTGTGCTTATGGAAATAGCTTGTGGTCCAGTGGTGCCTCAGGCTGTGCTTCTGCTTCACGTCGGAGGGTTGAGCAATATCAGGACCAGAGTTGTGGGTATTTCCCACTGTGGAGGAGGGAGTTTAGTGGCCAGGGCTTGGGCTTATGTCATTGGCTTCCCTGGAAATAACCCCACTTCCAACAGTGAGCACGCCTGCCTCTGGCTTTTCTTGGAAAAGGCATTTCTAGGAATGCCTGCCTGCCTGGCTTCGTGCCCAGTGTGTTATGAGCCAGTTTCATGGCAGGGCTCCAAGTGGCCCTTGGTTGGCATCATTTTGCTCCTGGGCCGTGTGCCCTAGGCTCTGCAGGGTGCACAGGAGCCATCGTGGGCTCGCCCTGCACTTGCACTAGATGCCCTCAGAGCTGGAGAAGCAGGGGTCTGGTGGGTGCAGAGTAGGGGCATGTCCTCGGCCCCTCAGCTACTTCACGCCCTGTCTCTGGGCTCGCCCAAGCTTAGATTTGCCCTGTGACCACCCCCACACCCCACACACACTTACTCTGCGATGTGACCAGGCCGATGCTTGAACCCAGGTGCACCCCACGATATTTAAGACCCAGGTTCCATTGTGCTTGTAGTTTGGGACACACAGGTGTAAAAACCAGACATAAGAAGGTGCTCCCGCTCCGAAGTTTCAGTAAAAGGATTTGCTTATAATCTTTGCAAGGTCTTGGTGATGGCCACCACACCAACCATGTCCCCAGACAGCAAGGCCTGCCTGCCGGGCGGAGCACTGTTAATGGTGTGACTGGACGGCCGTGCAGTGCTCCGAGGCGAGGCGATGTGATCTGTGCACTTACTTAGACCGTTGTCCTTTATTCTTCGGTGTGCTCTTCTCTTTCTGGTGGCTTTGTTCTCCCCGCCCGTCCTGTCTCAGATGCAGCTCTCCACAGAGGACAGGCGGGAGCTCAGGCTGCAGCCTGGAGGGTTTCTCCGGCTCCCCTGGATGCCCCCTCTGGCCGGCTTGGTGACAGACATGTGCTCCCACTGCACCCTCAGCCGCTGGCCTCCAGTCGGGTGGGCCTGGGGCCTGGGCTGCGTGTCCGGGCCGGATCTAGTCAGACCTGCCTCCGCCTGGCCTCTCTGCCATATGCAGTTACCTCCAGGGAAGAACTAGCGCACTGTGTAAGCCACAGAGCCAACTGCAGACTTTTAAGTTATGAAGACATTTATTTACTTAACTCCTGGACCAAGAAGCCTGAAGGTGGATGCTCCCAGGCCTGGGCAGGAGCACCCTGGTGCCCGCCTGTCCCTCTTGCTGCCTTTCCGCCGCGAGAGCCGTCCCTTGTGGTCCCAGGCGTTTGATGCAGTTCTAAGCACATTCTTACATCCAGTGCCTGGGCAGGAAACCTGGCGCAGAGATCACTTTCCTTTCATTAAGAGGGGGAGACCTTCCCCGAAGTCCCCACTACAAGTTCTCCCTCCACTTCTCTGACCAGAACTGGAGGGAAAAGGGGGTTCTGAGACTGTGCACTTTGCTGCCCAGGTCAGGTCAGTGCAGCCAAAGATGTTCCACCACCTGCAGAACCAGAGGGTTCGCTGCCCGTTCTCCATGGCTGGGAAAACTGAGCACCAAGCCCTCGCCTGCCTGCAGTGCCTGGCTTCGGGCTGGGATCCTGCGGTCCCGTCAGCCCATGCCCACACCCCCTCCACTCAGCGTCATGACTCCATACCCGCTCTGAGGACTCTCAGTACCAACACTTGATGTCAAGATTCTGACAGGAATCTTTCCTTGCCCGCTTTGCACCAAGCTGATCTTTGGAGTAGAGTTGCAATGCCCTGAGTCACTTTGCAGATTTACACCTGTGAGCATTCGTCCCTGGAAATTTAACAGAAGCATGCCTTGCACAGCTCTGGTGATCAGGTGAGAACCTGGAGCCTTTGACTTGGGCCCTAGGACTTTCCTCGGGTGGCAACATCGCGCTTGTGTTTGCTGAAAGGTGTGGGCCTGAATGCATGCTCTTGCACTGCCCACCTGTCCTCATCATCTGGGCACCTGCACTAGTTCATAGAGCTTCCTCTGCAGTCAGTGCCTGGCTGCACTCATGGTGCCGCAGCTGGGTTTCCAGACCCTACTAAATGCACTTGCCCTGTCACCCTCCTGAGACAGGCGACCTCGTGTGTGGCTGCTCATCTCCGAGTCTGCTGCAGCCCAGCAGAGTCCCTGGTGAGTAGCAGGCACTCAGTCAGAGCTTGCAGGGCGATGAATTCAGTCCATGGGCAGCGCTAGGGGTTTTGCTGCTTTATGAGCCATTCAAAGGTAGAGGTCACTGTAAAGCATTTAACCCTGTCGGTGCCCTTGGAGTGAATGCACCTAACCCACTGAGCCTCCCAGAGCCCAAGTGGAGCTGCTGCACACAGCTGAGGAGTGGCAGGAGAAAGGGCAACGGCAACATGAAGGCACAGAAGTAGGGATCATGGTCCGTCGCCATCAAGGACTGTAGAGTCTCTAAAGCATTTCGGCATGTAAGACACTATCCCACTTTATTGCTGAGGTGAAGGGAGCCAAGGGCTTTCCAAGGCCCCTCAGACCAAGATGCTGAGCGGGTCGGCGTTGGAGCTGCAGTTGTCATTTCTACGCAACTCTTCTCTTCCACGCATACAGGACCTGCCCTCGTTGAGGAGGCCCGTGTGGAAGACTTCCTGGTTTTTCAGATGGTCAGAAGGAAACCAGCTTTTAGGACTTGGGGAGCCTGCGTGACATGGACACCTTCCTCATCAGAGTGGCTGTGGGGTTGCTGGTGTGGTGCTGAGTATCAGGGCCAGACTGACCACTGGTCAGGGGTAGCAGAGAAACTCCGAGCAGCCCAGAGGTGGGCAGCCTCCCAGGCCTCTGCACTCCCAGGCCTCAACCCCCCCAGGCCTCAGGCCCCCATGCCGCAGTCCTCCCAGGCCTCAGTCCTCCCAGGCCTCAGCACCCCCAGGCCTCAGTCCTCCCAGGCCTCAGCCCCCCCAGGCCTCAGTCCTCCTAGGCCTCAGCCCCCTCAGGCCTCAGTCCCCCCAGGCCTCTGCTGTGCCGATGTGGAGGCAGCTCCACCCCACAGTGTGGCCAGGAAGACCTTTCTCACAAACCTCAGGTGGACTTATCTTTCGTCATGTGTTGAACAGACGTATGTCACTTCTCTCTTTTTTTTCCCCTCAGGACAAGACATTTCAAGGAGAGTATTAAATTCATTCACGAGTGTCGCCTCCGGGGAGAGGGCTGTCTTGTCCACTGGTACGTATGCCTCTTGCCTGCTAGCAGCTCAGCTGCTTGCTCAGCTGGGTCTCTCCTCAGGGCTTTACTGTGTGTGGTTAATTATCTTACCTCCTAATGTTTTCTCCAGTCTCAGAACCTCAAGCACATACCCCACCTGACCCTCCTGTTTGTTAGACACCATTGGCTTTTGTGGAAAAAGTCCTAAAACTTCATTTTCACTTAGGATTCCCATCTTTGCAGTAGGACTTCTGTGGGCTGTCAGGTGCCTGGACAGCAGGACCCTTCTTGGCACACCTCTGCTGTCTGCCAGAGCAGCCCCCACCAAGGGCATATACTGCAGGCTCGAGTCACGCCTGGGCCTCGGTGCCTTGGAGCGCTTCCTCCTGCAGGGCCATGACTGCGCGTGTGGGCAAAGCTGGGTTACTGTAGCACCAGAGAGACTGCTTCCTCCGTGTAGACTGGGGCTTTGCATGTGTTTGCTTTGAAAGGATCTGTCTGAATAGACTGAGAATTAAACAGTTACATACACCTCTCCACCTGGAGTCAGCTGTGCTCTCTGTGGATGTGGATACATGTATGTGTACATGCATACGTGTACACGCTGCAGAGGAAGGTGTCAGACCACGTGGAGCCAAGGCAGCACATGCCAAGCCTGGCACTCGGTGAGCCGCAGAGTGTCGGCTCTCATTTTATTTCCTCTAGTCTTCATTCCGATAGCATAACTTGCCTGCGTAGGGGGCAGCAGCCAGGTGTGGAGCCAGCACTTGGCCATCAGAGCGCAGCCTACAGGTCCCTCCCTGCCCTTGACCAGGCCTGATGCTGACCAGCAGTCTTGAGTCCCCAGTGAAGTGCTCTGGAAACACAAAATGGTGTCTTCGGGAGTGTCGCGCTGAGTTGGGCGCAGGCCTGGTGGTTGCAGGGGATCCGTTGCATGGTATCCAGAGGGTCACTCATGGAAATTGTCATTTGTTCTAAGGACCAGGAACCCCTAATGGGGCAGCAGGGATACTAGATCGTTTGATTGCTTAAAAAGGGTGTTCTACAGTTTTATAAAGTTCTTGAAATAGTGTGGTCATTTATTTTACCTTTTAAAAGAGTGGGATATGTTATAAATATAAATAGTGGGTTTCACAGCATCATTTCCATTTGCTCTAAAGCACTTTGGGGGTGTGGTTAGAGCCATATAAAGACAGGTTGAGCTTCCTCTACCTGGGCTCCTAGGGCTCAAGGGTTCCACTCAAGAGGGGATGTAGTTCTTCAAAGTTCACATTAGTTCTAGGATAAAGCCTTAGGGAGAGCCATCACTTCAAAGTGGTTTATTAGCATCATTACCAAACTGTTGTTATTTATATTTAACTATCTGTAGGTCTGATATTCTAGGAATTTCTATTTCATACAGTTGTGCAAATCTGAAGAGAGGCTTTTCTCAAAATGAGAAACGTGCTAAACTTCCCCATCCTAAACCGTTGCTACGACGCTCCAAGTCTGACACAGCATAGCCCTGCCTTGACCACCTGAATTTGCATATGCGTTTAAAATCGGTCCCCTTACTCAGCCTGCCAGAGACACGTAACCCTTGCTGCCCGCAGAGCTACGCCTTGGCTGAATTTCAGGACGTGTTTATGTGTTCAGGAGCGCTGCTGGGTGGTGTCAGAGCGTGTGTGAGTGTGCTCGGTGATGCTCTGCCCGGTAGTGTCAGAGCACGTGTACATGTGCTCCCGGTGCTCTGGTTGTGTCAGCATGTGTGCATGTGCTCCGGGTGCTCTGACTGGTTGTGTCAGAGCCTGTGTGCGTGTGCTCTAGGTGTTTGGCCTGGTTGTATCCAAAGGACACAAGGTATCGGGTAAGGCTCTGTATTTAATAGGTTTTCAAGTTATAGATGTAGCCCTCCCATATCCCTGAAAGTCAGATATTTTAAAAATGTAAAGCCTTCTACAGTGCTGCAGGTTATAAATGGACTTCTTGCCTGGATGCCAGACCCCTCAAGTTCCTTCAGTGTGGATGTGTTTAGTAATTTTATCTGTCTGGGGAAATGGGAACTATCTAAAGACGAGCTCAGGAGTGATAGCAAATCGTAGCACTGAATGGCCAGAGCCAGAGCCAGCAGGAAGTCTGTAAAACTGAGGCTAATACAGATGAGAATGCCTGAGGTTCTGGTGTAAGAGGGAGGAGGAGCTTGTGTGTTCTGAGTGATTTCCAAGTAACAAGCTTGCTGCCCACTCACAATCCAAGGCAGGAAGACTCTAAAATCAGGTCCACAGAGTTCCTTCCTCCAAATGGATCGGAAAAGACTGTGGACCCTAATCTTCCCCTCCCTCGTGGGTTCTCTTTGGCCCTGCAGCCTGGCCGGTGTCTCCAGGAGTGTGACTCTGGTGATTGCGTACATCATGACCGTCACGGACTTTGGCTGGGAGGATGCCCTGCACACCGTGCGTGCAGGGCGGTCCTGTGCCAACCCCAACCTGGGCTTCCAGAGGCAGCTCCAGGAGTTTGAGAAGCATGAAGTCCATCAGGTAACCATGCTCCGGGGACTCATGGTGTAGGCAGCAGGACCCAGGAAGGTGCTGCAGTCTTTTCATGCACCCCTAGAAGCATGGAGGTGAACGCTGGACAGGCCCACAGAGGACAGCTGGGCCAAGGGCTGCACCATACACTGAAGTCCTCCCTGGTTCCTAGTTCACCAGCCCGGGCCCCAGCCGATCACCCCCTACCATCTTCTAAGCCCCATGTGAGCTCCATTTTCCCTCTGGGTCAAGTGCCGTGTTCTCGGCTTGGCTGGCTTTTGTGTCCTCCGGTCAAAACCCTAGAGAAGCAGGGACTTCTCTTGCTTGACCCTGGCTAGCCAACCACAGAGCCGTGACCCCCCCATCCCATTTACTTCCCAGTTTGTATGTAATGCGTCAGCCTACGTGCATGCAGGTGTGTGTGTGACATTTGCTTTCTTTCAACTCCAGTACCGGCAGTGGCTGAAGGAGGAGTATGGAGAGAGCCCTTTGAGGGATGCAGAAGAAGCCAGGAACATTCTGGGTAAATATAAAGAGCACGGGAGCACGGAGGCCCTGCCCGGCGCCTGGAGGGGGAGCAGCTTTCAGGCTCTGCCTCCTCTGGCCTACAGCAACTATACTACAGAGACCTAACGCTGCAACCCAGTGCCCACCTTTCTGCCAGGCGCCTTGTGTGCTGGGTGCCACCTCGCCTCGGAGGACAGGAAGGGAGGGTGGCGAAGAAGGTGGACCCAGGCTCTTACCCAGGACCTCCCCCAGCCCTGCCTCAGGTCCCTCTACTCTGTCCCCCAAAACTTGCTGCACTGTCTGGAGGCTGCCCACTGCCCACTGCCCACACCGCCGCACGCCTCTGTGCGGGTCATTGTGCTGTGTCTGTGTGCGTGTGTCTGTGTGTGTGCGTGTGTGCACGTGTGAGTGTGTGCATGTGTTGTGTCTGCGTGTGTGTGTGCATCTGCGTGTGTGTGTGCGCGTCTGCGTGTGTGTGTGTGCGTCTGCGTGTGTGTGTGCGTGTGCGTCTGCGTGTGTGGGTGTGAGAGCAGTGTGGCTGTCACAGTCCACACTGCCAGGACTGCTGTCGCCACCTTTCCCCCATCAGGCGCTGTGGATGAGGCTTTCATGTCGGCACCTGCAACACTGCTCAGCCAGAGCCTGTGCCTGTGAGCCCACGGGGAACCAGGGGCCAGGTGGCTGAACACAGGTGCCCCAGAACACANACACTCCCAGGACTGCTGTCGCCACCTTTCCCCCATCAGGCGCTGTGGATGAGGCTTTCATGTCGGCACCTGCAACACTGCTCAGCCAGAGCCTGTGCCTGTGAGCCCACGGGGAACCAGGGGCCAGGTGGCTGAACACAGGTGCCCCAGAACACAGGGCCATGGCAGGGCAGCAGGAGGCCAGACTCCATCTGAGGGTGGCTCTGGGGCCTTGGACGGTGTGGCGGACGGTGCTCTGAGCATCGCCTAGACTTACTGATGGTGCACCAGTCCTGGGCTCCTGCTGCTTCAAGTCAGGTCCCCTTGCAGCCCATTGTGTCCCCAAGTTCTACATTGTGTTTGTTCCCTGTAGCACCCACTGCATTTTAGTCCCATGGCAGCACTACTAATTCAGCCATGTGCCCAGCATGCCCTGCCTTTCACTTCCAGTCCAGCTTCTCTTACTCCTGGCCACTGCTGTCTCACTCTGTAAGGGACCTCCTCCAGAGGCTTGCATGCACCTGTAGGTATTGGGAAGAAAGCACTTACTAGACACTGTAGCAGTTTGCATTTAAAAATGCATTTAAAAATGCAGTTATTAAGCACCTTGTGTATGCTGTGGATTTGATATTTGATCTCAGCTACCTCATTAAATGTTTTTTGAAAAGGTGTTTTTCGTGGTTCCAATCAACTCTGCCTTGTAGTTGAAAATGTTTGGTCGTGACTACTTTTGAAGCCAAAGGGGAGAGGGCCCGTATCATTGAGCTATTTAAAGTTTCTGATTTGGGCTCCAATAATGCTTTCTGGTGGGTAAAATTCCATATTCAGGCTGAGGCCAGCTGGTGGCCAAGTACCTGCATCTGCAACGGTTCTGTGCCCCTGGCCTTCTACTGGTCCCGATGGGCTATGGCAGAGCCATGGGATAGAAACCTATCCTCCCTCTCCCTGCAGAGGTGCTGCTCTCTGTTTCTCTGATTCGACCACACAAAGGGCCCCTGAGTAACAGGAGCGGTTTCCCATGCATTAGAGGGTGGGTCACATGTTAGGGGGTTCCGGAGAAGGACATCTCCTGACCCCATACTTGCACAGGCCCCAGATACACAGTGGGAACAGAAATGTGGCCACAGACTTACCCACATGCAGATGAAACAGTTCGCCTGTAAAGTACACTATTCCCTTAAACCAAAAAGACGTATAAATGTGTTAACCAGAAAAGTATTTAGGATGTCAGCTTGAATGTGAACTATGTGTACACTTGTGAACATCGCAATATACTCCTGTAGGAATTGAAGTGTTGCTTTAACCTCTGTTGCCAGCGATATTCTTTCTCCACAGCCACCCCAGGAGTCCTGAAGTACTGGGCCTTTCTCAGAAGACTGTAAGGTCCCTGAAGCCTGAGATAAAGCAAAGCCACGGAGTTTAGTCTGGTGCTGCCAAAAGAAAAGCAACCCAGAGTTTATTTTAAGTGTCCAGAACTGATTTGTGAGCTTGTCTGTTGTTTTAAACTGAGCACCTGTGTGATCGTGTTGTTACCTGCTGAGCACCAAGGATGCTCTGTAGCAAGAGGACATGTTTCTGCCTTAATTACGGTGACCTTAGTGCCTGTGTGGCAGCCTCGGGGTCCTGCCGCAAGGCCGCAGTTGCTGTTGTCATCCTGACTGCTGCTCATGGCAGCTGTGCCCCGTAAACGCTGCTCCAACCTCTCAGCTGGCATACCTCTTGGTGTCTTATCCTGGTTCGTGTTCTCCATGGTGGCATTTACCAACAGCTACACATTTTTGTTAATAAAAGGCAGCTTAGCCACATTAGCTCCGTGTGCAGAGCATCCTTCCTTAGCGGAGGCGTGGGCAACATGCCTTTCTGCCCGGGAGGGTCACAAAGCAGGTTCGGGGTCTGCTCCCCCAGCAGTGATGCTGGCTTTATTTTAGAGCTGTTTTCCGGGGGGGGAGGGGCAGCAGACATTAGGAAACATGAATTAATTTCTCCCTGGGAGAAAAGTCAGTCGTCCATGTGAGCAAGAAGAAGTTTGGAGACTGCGCTGTGCGCTGGCTGCACAGCATGGGAACTGAGTGTCCGGCAGCCTGGAGTGACCTCAATTCCCATGTGACTGGCCTGGGCCAGGAGCACTGCCACACGCTGCTGAACACAGCTTCTCGGATCCCATCTCATCTTCTAATGTGAAAAGCCGCACACTGGCTCAGAGCAGTTTAAGTAGACTTCCTACATTTTCCTTGTCTAAATCCGGAGTGGGCCTGGGAGGCTGTGGCCTGAACTACAGGCAGGTGACTGTGGACCCTGGACTAAAAGGGGCAGGCTTGCCATAGGTTCCAAGTTTCTGCTTCCATTGCCTGGAAGCTCCTGGCAGGGAACTGGGTGGCTGGGAGCTGTGTGGGCTGCTCTGGCAGCCCCTGGTGGTGAGATGCCATGGCATGGTTAGTTTGTGGCATATATGTTTATGCTCACTCCCGTTAAGGTAGTGTCAACTGTGCTTAGATGTCAGAGGCAGAAGAGGCCCCTTCTCGGGCTGTGACCAGACCAGGTGTTCAGGTGACACTTAAGATGCAAGCAGCAACCTCCTGCTGCCTGGGCCTGGGCGCTCCAGATGAGTTGGTCCAGGCCTGGCAAGTTTTCTAGGCTGTTTTTTCTGTGACTGACTTTTGCACATGGATCCTTTCTAGCCTGCAACTCAGAATCATGGCCTCCAGTGAAGACAGCTGGGCCACCTGCACTCACCTCCACTCCACTCAGGTGTCTGCTCGCTCACTGCACTCACCTCCACTCCACTCAGGTGTTTGCTCGCTCACTGCACTCACCTCCACTCCATTCAGGTGTCTGCTCCCTCACTGCACTCACCTCCACTCCATTCAGGTGTCTGCTCGCTCACTGCACTCACCTCCACTCCACTCAGGTGTTCGCTGGTTCACTGTACTCACTGCATACCTGCCAGATGCACAGAGACTCCTGATTCTCAGAACTACTTGGTGGCTGGCAGTTCGGAAGACTGGACGTTACAGAGCAGGTCGTGAGGACTAGAGAGGTACTCCCAGTGCCATGTGTGGGACACGGAATGGAGAAACTCCATTCGTTTGGGGGGTGGGTAGGGTGCTCAGGAATTCATCTCAGAGTGATACCTCGTGTGAGACCTGAAGCATACATGCTGAAATTAGCTGGGCAGAATGGGAGAAGGGGAGTCCAGGCAGAGGCCAGTGGCACAGAGAACGCAGCTATGGCACGTGGGCAGCCTGGCGAATGGTGCAGACACAGCAAAGGCTGCTCAGCCAAGCTGTTACTGTCAGCCTTTTGCTTACTCCCTGCTCTACAGCAACTGTTTCACTCCTTCCACCAGCCCAGGAGCCCACCAGGCTCAGAGGTCAGGTGCCTGCCAGCTTCCTGCAGCTCCCATTCCCTAGTTTGGAGCCTCGTGGCAGCATGGGTGTCACCCTGCAGATGGGGCACGAGGAGAGGAGTGGCTGCTGAAGGTGCCAGGCAAGCAGGTGCCTCTTTGGTGGGTGGGTGGAGAATGGGCGTGTCCACCAGGTGGCCAGGCAGAGCCCTCCAGGTGATAGAAGGTGGCACCCTGAACAGGGTCAGGTGTGGAGATGAAGAGGCGCCATGGAGGCTGCTTGAGGAAGGTGGGGAGAGAGAAGAAAGCACTCTGTGGTGCCGACCGTGGCACAGGAGTGAGGGCCAGTGGCCTGGCGCTCTCTGGGGCTTGACCCCTCCCAGGGCTTTGGGCCAGGTTCACACGGCTTCTGCACTGCGCTAGTGCTGTGCAGGTCCTGCCATGCCGAGGTCACTGCCATGCCCGGGTCAGTCAGAGGGATGGCTGGGCCTCCCTGGTGCTCATCCCTGGGTGTGGCCCAGCTTTTCGACCAGGTGTTCAAGTCTGTCCATGCACCAGAACAGACTCCCCAGAACCAGACTCACGACAGTTAATGTAGAATTCAGATGTCCAACTTCTTAATTTATTGCGAAAGATAAAACATTAGCTTTATGGAGACTAACTTATCCCCTAGCCAAGCCGTCTCTCATCAAGATTTTTGGAAATCGACATATTGTACACCTTGAACTTACACAATGTTATGTCAGTTATGTGTGAATAAATCTGAAATTAAAGGAATGAAACATCTTTTAAAGTATAAAAAAAGATTTTTTGGAGGCCAGGTTAGTCACTAGGCCTTGTCCTGTGGGCCTGGGCAGGGAGCCGAGAGCCCGGGCGGGGGCATTCTGACCTGCACTTGCCTTTCCTGGGTGCCAGGCAGACCACCCTGTTGATATACTCTCTCTGCCCCTAGTGATTCTTTGACTTAAATCCCGTTTTTCAGAATAGCTTCATTAGCTTTGCTTGTCCGCACAACCCTCAACAGCATTTTTCTCTTCCACGAGGGTGGTTCCCACTAGCGGCTTTTTAAATGTTTCGGGTTCCGGTTCTCCAGTTTCCGCCTCAGCAGGGAAGCCCACTTGCAGCTTCCAGAGCACGTCACTCACACACACAGGCAGCCTGTGAATCTAGTGATCGGTGTGCATGAACAGCTGTTTATCATTTTTAGATTTTGTTTTAGAGAAATTCTTAACCCTCAGGGGGGTCCTGTCTGCAACATCAAGGGGCTCAGGTACCTGGGCTCCCAGGAAAACGTCAGAGCTGAGTTGGTCATACAGGCTGCTGTGCAGACCCGCCTCTAGTCACAGAAATGGGGAACCCTGCCAAACCCTGTGATTCCATAGACGACTCCTCCCATCCTGACTCGAGTTATTAATAATTTTATCAAGAATGTTCTTTCAACACGCTGTGTTTATATATGTATTTAACCAGAAATCACCAAGACTTCGGAGGGAAGTTCCTCTTCCCTTCCCTTTTTATTGCCCAGAGCAAGGGAGAAACGAGAATAAAAAGCTGCCTCTGCCTGGTCCTGGAGGCCTGAGAAGGCCCATCCCTTCTTAGGATCCAGGGGGCTCCTGGGCCTCAGGCTGGGGCTGTCACGTACTTGGAATCGGGTAGCACACCGGCCCTGTTTCATCACCCACAGAGATCTAGACGCTTTGCTCTCTTGTTCCCCTACTCCTGCTGGAGACCCGTGACTGTGACTGGGCATAATTATTTCAGCTAGTATCAAAATTAGTGTCTGTTTTGCAGTTTAGGCTTAACCACCTTAACAGGCATCTGACTAAAGGTTACAAGTGCTCTGTGTCTCTTTCCATTGGGGGAGGATTTCCAGCACATGTCTGAACATCTGCAGTTGGGGTCATTTGGGCCACAGAGCTCTATGCAAACTGCTGGTCATAAAGAGTTAGTGGTTCCTGAAGCTTCTAGTTCAGTTCATTAGAGTTGGTGTCAAAAGAGCTATTTTAGCGGGTGACTGAAAGTGCAGGCCGTGGATATTCTAATTGAGTGTGGTGTTGACTTTATTTAGGAGACTTTTTGTGTGGGATCTTTTGTACAGAGGCCTGTTTAAGAAAACTAGATGGAGGCTGGGGAAGGGGGGGATTTTTAGGGTCAACGATTCCCTCTAGGAGCAGTGTGGACTGAGACAGCTTTTGGAAACAATGCTGACCCCAGTGTTTGCTCACTCGCCCAGCCTGAGCCAAGGAGACCAGGTGATCTCACAGTGGCCGCCCAAGTGCTCCGTCCTCCAGCCAGCATGCGCCGAGGCCGCATGCCACCAGCCTTGTGTGGCCCCTCTTCCCTCAAGGTGCACTCACCATCCATTGCCTTCCCCTTGCCTCAGGCACCCACCTCCAGAAGTGGCCAAACCCAGCACAAACAGGAACCGTACTTTCTGATGAGCAGGTTTGCCTTTTGTTGCTCGGCTCTGGGTTTCCCCAAGGCACTGGTGGGGAGCCTTTTTGGAAAATAAAACATCAAAAGACTTCTACATGTGCATCAGACAAATGTCACCTTCTGCTTTGCAAAGGGTGTGCCCTTCACAGCAAGAGGCCCGAGTGGCCCAGAGCTTCCTCAGAACAGGAGTCCCTAGAGAGGCTTGTCATGTGCAGGGTCAGGTGTTCCACCTGGTTGGTCTGTGCTGAGCCACAGTGACATGGGGATGAAGGGTAAGGAGAGGGGCGAGGAGGCGAGCCCTGCTTGGCTTTGCCGCGGCTCTCACCACCAAACATGAGCTGCATCCCCGCTGTGCGCAGGGCTTGGCCGAAACCCACCTCCTGCCTGCTGTTCACTGGCTCACAGCAGACGGGCGCTTCCTGTCTTGCTGCACCTGGGAGACAAAGGTACAGGTCCCCGTGGAGCAGGCGGGGGGAAGGGGTTGTGTTTAGGGGATGAAGCCAAGGTCTTGAACCAGTGGCCAGGCGGGCATGGTGGTCACGTGGCAGGCCAGCCTGGCTGGGTCTGGTTCTCTGGAACACCTTGGGGAAGTCCCAGGGGAGCCAACCCACACATGTGGCAACTTCTTCTCAAGACTGGCATGAAAGAAACTCCCTGGAAAGGGTGAGCAGTGCTGGACAGCACCCTGTTTGGTGGCACAGCCTTCCTGGTGGCACTCTGTGTGTCTAGGAAGCCCCTTCTAATCCCGGAGGTGCTTCTTCTAGAGAGCAAAACACCCAGCCTCATGCTGGTCGACCGTAATTGAACACTGGTGACAGGAGCCGGCATGAGACTCCTGAAATTGTACCCTCAGGACAATCTGTGGGGTAAGTTTTAATATCACCCCCGTTGTCAGATGAAGAAACCAAATTCCAGAGGGCTTGAGCATCACGCAGTCAGGGCCAGAAAGTGGCCAGATTAGGACTGGCACCCAAGCACTGTGGCTCGGGGGCCTCTACCTCAGCCCCCCTTTCCGAACACCGACAGTGC